TCTTTTTCAAAAAAAGAAGTTATATTGGAGCCTGGAAGAAGGATGCTGTGAGGAGGCTGGGGAGCATGTATGAGGCTCCTTCTCTTCTCCTGTTCTTGTTCCCTCTCCCTTCTCTTTTCTCTTTTCTACTACTCTCTTTCCTCTCACTACTTCTGTTGTCATTTCTTTCTGCTTCTCCTTGTATGTGGCTCAAACCTGGCTGCCTCAGCCCTAAGATGTCTTCCCTTCCTCTGATGACCATTAACCCACAAGAGTTTCAATTCCAAGAACAACAATTCTGATTAGTCTAGGCAGTTAGTGGGTTGACTTCCTCCTGGACCTGAAAAGGTAGGGGCAGGGCTCAAAAAGAGATATAGATCCTGACAAAGATTCTGTACCAAAAACTCAAGACACTTAAAAATAATGTAACAGATCATGGTTGGGATCTAAGGTCAGCTTACAGTAATTATTTAATTCATATTCTTGCAGAATATAGTTGCAATAAAGGAAAAAGTGAAATTAAAGATTGGAATTGCATAGTGTTATCTCCACCCCCTGCATTTTAAAAGATTGCATGATAATCTGAGTAGAAAAATTTTTTTTAAGTGTTTTAAATAATGGTTTATCTGGTGTAGACATTAGCACAACATCTGAAAGAACTATCAACAATAATAATAACTATAACTTATTCAGTGATCACTATTGCTAGACTCTGTGCTTTACATATATTACCTCATTCAGACCTCGGAATAGTCCTGTGTGGATGATGTTTTGTGCTGTCAAGTTGATTCTACTCAGTGACCCTATGGGACAGAGTAGAACTGACCCGTAGAATTTCCTAGGGTATACTCTTTAGGGGAATACATCTCCAGGTCTTTTCTCCTCTGGAGCCACTGGTGGGTTTGAACTGTCAACCTTTCAGTAGGCAAGGTTAGTGCTTAACCACCTATTATTTCCCTTATTACAAGGATGAAGGGATTGAGTCACAGAATAAATATTTAACAAAAGTTGCAAGGCTAGTTAGAGTCAGGATTCAAATCCAGGAAATCTGGCTGCAGCATCGGTACTCTGAACCTCTTTGCTACCTTGCCTTTATCAAGTCAAAACAAACCAAACCCACTGCCATCGAGTAGGTTCTGACTCATAGTGACCCCCACTGGGTTTCTGAGGTGGTAAATCTTTATGCAGGTAGATTGCCCAATCTTGCTTCTGCAGAGTGGCTGGTGAGTTTGAACTGCCAACCTTCTGGTTAGCAGTCAGATGCCTTAGGCATTGTGCCACCAGAGCTCCTTTGCCTTTATTAGAGGCCTACAATTATGCTCTTTCAGAATAATCGAAATCCAGAGAGAAATGTGAGTGACAAGTTCTCTCTCATTGGATCTATTAGAGAGTCTGGACCACCATTAGGCAGGGATGTTGTAAAGGAAACTAGGGAGTATACTAGTGGGCCTTGGTTGCCAGTACGTAGACCCACTGCCAGAAACTCCCAGGGAGCTAATGAACAGCCATAAATGCCAAAGTCCAGACCCAGAGGATCTGATCACTGTGTCTGAGGTGGAGACCCAGGAGTCTACATGTGTCACAAGCTCTCCGAGGGATTGTGATATTCATCCTGGTTTGGAAACTCTGGACTTGGTAATCTTTTATTCCCATTGGTATTGTCTAGGACAATATGGTAAAAGGAAACTTTAGCAGTTAGGGGCCCATTTGAAGAATGCCTTTATGTAGATACCATTGAGGTCTTTTGAAGTTGTTAGTATTGGCTCTTTTTGTCTCAGAAAAGAGTAGGTGCTCAGTAAATGCATGTTGATTTGAATAATTATGATACTGTTGTATAACATTGTTCACTTTATAAAGCTCCACCACAAATTTTATCAAATTTACACTAATCTTCATCAATAAATATGTATTGAGTGTATGCTAGTTATGAAATATAGCAATAAAAAATATAGTCCCTGTGCTTAAGGGACTCCTAGGTGAGATGAGGTAGACTGCCTGGCAGTACAGAGTAATGTATAGCAGAGCCAGATGAGTAGTACAGGTGGTGAGGACTATGGGTGGTCAGGGAGCCATTCATATCCAGGAGTGTATTCTGGATCCTTGTGGAAAGAAGCACCAGGCCCTGAAAGGAGGGTGAGCCTTGGCTCAGAGAAGCTACATGAAGAAGGAATTCCAAGCAGGAGTGCCAGGCACTGTGTGAGGACACCGCTTGCCCTGCAGCCCTCTCAAGTGGAGGCTATTCATTCTTCCATAGCTTCTACATCTCAACCAAAGAGAGCGAGTCCTTTTCTGTTTCCAATTTCTTCCACCCTTACTGCCTTGATAATAGGGGATATCACTGTCCCCACAAGTGATCTGTCCCTCTCCTGAGCCTGTCAGTTCTTTGACTTCTTCATCTTAGACAAGAATCTTCTTCACTCACTTTACACTCCCACTCCAGTTTCCAAAGTCCACCTCCAGTTTTGTTGTCATCTGAAGCTTTGCCCTTCCAGAATCGAGATCAGACCCAACACTCTCCAGCCATCATGTATCATTTCTGCAACTTATAGCTCTTCTTCCTGAATACTTCCTCACTAATGACCCCTCTACTTTTTCCCTGTCCTCTGCCCTCTACCTGGAACATTCCTTTCCATTGTTGATTCCTATTTATCCCTCAATCCTGCTACAAACTTTGGTTTCCTTAGGGAGTCTTTCTTCTATGAGATTAGCTCCTATGTTGGGGTCCTGTAGCATTCTGTGCTTTCCTTTGGCTAACTTTTAACTTATTCTGTATATATTTAGTGTCTGTATCTTCTGCCAAACTAAGCATGAAGGAAGAAGCTGTCTCTGTAGTATAGTGGGTTGGCTCTGTAAATATTCTTGAACAGATGAAAATAAATATGTTTAGTCTAAAATGGTGGTTCTAGACTTAGTAAGAGGGAAGGGTTGGAAGGAAGAGGATGGCAGAATAAGAGATGAGGTGGAATTAGAATGAACTGGAGAGAGTTTTTGTTTTGTTTTTCCTGTAGAAAGCTCAGTGTCTTCATCATGGGCAGTATCTCTAGAAGTTGATAACACTGCTTTGTTTTTGTTGTGTTTCTGTATACAGTTCCCTTTATCCAATGGAGAGATAAAAGTTAATTTTTAAAACGAATGTGAGTAAACTGATTTAAAGAAGAATTATAAGTGAATAATAACATGCGACATAGATATAATAAATAAACATGGCAGTAGAAGGATTGAATGAAGTTTGGAAAATACTTAGATGAGCCCACAAACATCCCTTTTCCAAACCTGAGGAAAGCGGGGGAGACAAGAAAAATAACCTGGAGCACTTTTCCAGTACAGTCATATTCTGTCACCACCAAGAACCACTAGTCTAGAATAAAGGACAGAATCATGTCCACCAGTTGTTATATATTTTACAGTGAAAAGGAACTCAGGAACTTACACACATACAGCATGATGCCTGGCTTATGGCAGTCCTTCAGCAAATGTTGTTTTCATTGTTTCCATCCACTACCCCATCCTTTTACAAAGAGAGAGTAGGTTCTAATCTGGATTCCCTTAACTAATTTATGGCATTGTCTTAAGGAATAAGTCATTGTGAAGTGAATAGGTTAGATCACATCACTTCTAAAATTCCCTCCAATACTCAAATTCTTTGTTTCCTATAGTGTCATTTTAGTGGAATTTTGGAAAGAAATGGAGATAAACATGTGCTAGATATATCATGTATAACCAAAGTCTCATGTTGTTTGTTTTACTCTAAATAGCCTGTCCTTAAATTTTAAAGATTTAGAAAATTATTTATTGTCATCATTCAAACATCCTTTCAAGGGTTAATGAAATTAAATGGCATTTACAACTTATTGTAATTCAGACTTGAGAAATTTGATGAGAAAATATAATGATCTATTGCTTTTTATGTTCTATAATCAAGCAGCCTTCATGTAAGTATAGGGGAGAGTAGATGTCATTTCCAAAACTAATTATCTTGGGCCTTTACTAGAAATAAAAGTAGGCATTTTATCCCATATTTTATAGATAGAGAAGTTGAAAATTTTCTTTGAGCATCACTGATTTAAAAGGTGAGTCAAATTACCAGGAAGATGATCATAACCTCCTAGACCTTAGATTAGAATGTTATTTTGCATTTTATTCATGATATTTTGCTCTTCTTTTAAATTTATCTGACAATCTTCTCCTGTGGATTTATATTTATATTTCTACCAACTAGATACTTAAGATGTCAGTTCATTCCTTAGCTGTTACACAGACTTTGGGCTGGAAATTTGGTATTCTTACAAACTGTTAAATATACTGTGTTTTGTTTCTTGGTATTGAAGAAACTATTAAAAGAAAATGCTTTTCACTAACATTCTTGCCAAGAGGGAGGTTCAGAAGCCTCAGGAGTAAATAACTCAGTTTATGTATTGCAGTATTAAAAACAAAATATTAAAACAAAAAAAAACCTATTTCAAATGCCCCTGCATTATTTATATCTACTGTATCTATGCACTTGAATTAACTCAAATTTTGAGCTTCATGGTTATGATTATGATGTACCAGTTGATTTATATTATGGATATAACAACAGATGGTGATGGTGCAGGTTGAAATAAAAGATCATTAAGCTAAATATTTTAGCCTACATTGGCTCCCTGTTGCATAGAATTTGTCAGAGTGAAATAGAATCATAACATCTCAGAACTGGAAGAGCCCTTGGAGATTGTCTCATCCAGTCCTTTATTTGACAGATGAGAAAACAGAAGCCCGGAGAGAATGCTACTGCCAAGGTCGTACAGCTAGTTAGTAGCAAAGCTAGGACTGGAATCTGCTATTTTCCAATTGAGTGCTTTTTTTCCTGACTCTGTGTGAGATTTTTAGGTAGTGTTTTGTCTAGATCACATTCATTCACCTTCCTGATATCAACCTCAATTATCCTAATCAATCTCATATGTATTCATTTCTAGAACATACACACTTTGACCCTATAATGAGGCTTGGTTGGTTAAATTTTATATCTGGATTTCTTTTAGGTTGGCCTCTACTCACAGCTTTTAATATTGAAGACTTCAGCATACGCCTGGATCTACTACTTTTTCAGAAAACTTCAGTATCGAACAATAAATTTCCCGCTGTGATCTTGTTATAGTATAGAAGCTTTTGAATTCTCCAAAGCTAAACAAGATTTTCTCCCATTTTCCCATGAAGCCACATTGTTGCTTATTCACTTTAGTGGTAAGTGTTATTGTGCCAGCTGCTTTTGTTTCAGCAGATATAGACGTCAAGCAGATGGCCCCGTTGGGAGCAAATCAAAATTCTTCCAATGCATCGTTTCCCCCAAGCTTTGAACTCTCAGCAGGTTCACCCTTGGATGATGGCGTCATCATAGCCAAAGAGGGAGCTAGTGTTTCAATCGAGTGTCTTCTCACAGTCAGCCACCATGAAGATGTCCATTGGTACAACTCAAGAGGACAGCAACTGGATGACAGAGGCAGAGGTAACTATAGTTATGTGCTGTTGAGTTGATTCCAACTTATAGTGACTCTATAGGACAGAGCAGAACTGCCCCACAGGGTTTCCTAAAGGCTAAATAAAGTCTGTATGAGAACAGATCAATTGGTCTTTTCTCCCAAGGAGTGGCTGGTGAGTTTGAACCACCAACCTTTCAGTTAGCAACTGAGTGCTTTTCCATTATGGTACCAGGGCTCCTTGAAGTAACTGTGCTAGGGTATAATTAATCAAGGTTACTCATTTCCTGCTAGTGCTATCTTGGTTGTATGGTGTGAGACATCTCAAAGATGAATCACCAAAGTGAATAGTTTAAATTTTTAAAGTGCTACAAGAAAAGAATTCCACAAAAAAAAAAAAAAAAAAAAATTTCTCTGATGGTTACAGTGGTGAGCAGGGGAGGAAAGGTAAACTAGTAACTATAGGGTAGACATATATTAACTTTAATGAAGGGAATAAAATAAAAAATTAAAAAATGATAAAGAAGCTACTCATTTAAAAAAGGGGGGGGGGGTGGAGTTAAAAGTCCTGGAGTGTTAAACCTATCAGAAAAAGCTAAACAAGTTTAATTCCTTAGCCAAAAGAAGAAAATCATAAAGCATAGTTATAAATAAAAAAGGTGTTCATGTGATGACAGTGAGTTGTTTTCCCTCCTCTTGGTGAGGTGATTTCCTTGTTAACTGAAGGTACACTACATCAGGGCTGCTATATACGACAGTGCCAGCTGTCTACTGTCCACTTGCAGCAGCGCCATTCACTAGACTCCAGTATGAATGGTGTAGTATGGTGGCCATGTGAAAATATGGCCAGAAATGTTTGGGTGAGACCTAAGTAAATTTGTCATGATTGAATTTTGTTTTTTCTCTTAGAAATGAGTTACTGCAAATGTTAGAGAAAATTTAGGATGTTTTTAAAATGGGAATAGTCTGTTCAGAAAACTTTGAGCCGCTCTGAGAATTGGAAGAGCCCTAAGGAGCAGCTATATAGTCCCTCCTAGCTCTTTTTTCTATTCTGTACCCTAATTAATTTGAAAACAGGAGAGTTTCTCTTGCATTTTTGTCTCTCGGTCTTCCAGATCACACAAACATAACTATAACATGACCATCATCTACTTTTTGACAGGTTTTATTTGGTTTTGCTATTTGTGGACCTGTGGACACATCTTAACCCATATTATTTCCTTACCAGTGTTTTGTTAGAAAGGTAATTTTGATGGGTACTTTTGAGTTAAAGTACCTCAAAAAAGAAATGACCATGGAAAAAGATTAGATTCTGAAATCCCCAGAAGCTACACTTTAAGAAAAAGCTTCTTTCTTTTGTTAGAAAGATAGTCTAACCTCTTGAAATAAAAAAAAATACTCAGCTATTTTCTTAGGATGGAAAACAGAAAAGGAAGAAGATGGTATTTCCTTTAGAAATATACACTAAACATTTTACCAAAAACCAAATTCGCTGCCATTGGGTCAGTTCAGACCCATAGTGACCCATAGTGATTTCCAAGGTGGTAAATTTTTACAAAAGTAGACTGCCCCATCTTCCTTCTGCTCCTTGGATTAATAGTCAGATGCCTTAGGCACTGTGCCACCAGAGTTCCTAAACATTTTAGCCTTCTATGAACAGCTTGACTGGTCACTAAGAGATTGAAGAGAATGCACTGTTAGAACAGAGTAAGAATTGCTGTAAATTGGCCTAAATTTAAGTAACTCCAGAATAAAGAAACCAAAGAAAAATAAGAAAAAAAAGCTCGATTAAAATACTAAATTTTTATTTAATCAGAATTTTGCTATCAGATCCAAGATAGGACCTTCTGAAATTTTTTTCTTAGGGGTAATTTTTACTTTGCTGTCCAATATATTTAAACATGTGACTTTTAAGCACTTGAAATTGAGACGTAAAGTAAATGTAAAATACACACTGAATTCAAAGTTTTAATATGGATATAAAATATAAAAAACTCTATTTGGTAATCTTTTAATATTGACTACATGTTGAGATGATAATACTAGATTAAATAAAGTATATTATTAAGATTAATCCCACCTGTTTCTTTGTACTTTTTCTAAATATGCCTGTTAGAAAATTTTATCAAATACATGACTTGCTTTTATGTCTTAGATTATATTTCTAATGGACAACACTATTTTAGAAAGTCATCTCTTCTGTTTGCCATTAGATTAGTTAAGGTGAGTCTGAATTGCTGATCTAGCTAGGGTTTCTTTGTGAGTGTCATGGTGGCCTTTGAGGCTGTCCCTAAATAGGAGCATGCTAAAACATGGTTCTCAGTTTGTAGCTTTTATGATTGAGACAATACATAAGAAATATCAGTCACAATGCAGATTTCCAGACAACCCGCTAAAGTTTCTGATTCAGTTCAAACCCACCAGCCTCCTTGGAAGGAAGGTTGGGTAATCTACTTCTGTAGTGATACTGCCTCGGAAACCCAAGGAGGGATCGCTGTGAGTCAGATCCGACTTGACAGCAGTGAGTTTGGTATTTTTGGTTTATTTATAATAAGCACTCTGGATAATTCTTATGCAACTGGTCTTTGACTCCACTTTTGAGAAACACTGTTGTAAAGAAATAGCATTGAAATGATAATGAGCCTCTTCTTCCATCCACTTCTCAGTGAACCTATAAACTAGTTGTCAAAACAATTTGAAAAGCTAAGGTAAACAAAACTGTCTAACTTACTTGTCTTTTCCTCTCCTCCTTCATTCCCATTTCTCTTCTTTGTCCTTCCACAACACAATCTCCTCATCTCAGTCACTCACCTGATGAACAATTATTGAGATCCCTGGGTGGCACTAACAATTTGCACTTAACTACTAACCTATAGTTGGCAGGTTTGAACTGATGATCTGCTTCTGTAAAGTTTATAGCCAAGAAAATCCCATGGAGTACTTCTACTCTGTAACACATGGGGTTCCCATGAGTTGAATGGCCTCAATAGAAAAGGGCACTGTGGGCCAGGACTGCCCCTTCCTTTCCTCCTTACCTCGCCCAGGCCTCTTTTTCAAGCACCCTCCTCTTTTCACCTCAGACATTCATTCACCCAAACTATATGACACTTTGTTCTAATCCTCATTTGACATCTGTATTACTGTGTCACAGAATCAGATGGATTAGCAAAGATAGTCAACTTGTTAAAAATACAGACCTCTTGAATTAGAATCTCTGTAGTGGTGCCTAGAATATGTATTTTGAACATTATTTGGGGTTCAACATTTGGGACCCACTGAACTAGCTTCTAATCTCTCTGAGCTCTAGAATATCCTGACCAAATACATCTAAGATTTGAATTATCCAATCACTGTGATCTATATAGACAGTTAATACATAAACAAAGGCGTAGATTAGGATGCCAAATGGAATGGCAGTTTCATTTTCCTGTTTTGCCTTTGCTTTGAAAACCACTAACATCTATCATTGATGCTTTCAGCAGCAGCTCTGGAAAATTGTATTGAATTTTATGAATCTCAAGTGAGAGGAGTTTAAAGAGCATGTCAGTTTAGTATAAGGTTCATAAATTTTAAGCTATTACCAGCAAGTGAGCTAGAGAGTTTAGATAGTGGTTGTGGTACACTGGTTAATAATGGAGTCTATGAAGTTCATAGGATATCCTTTTCATAGCTCTAAGTTCCAAGAAGCATATGGAATAATGGCTATATTCATACTACATTATTTTCATCCCCTTTTTTTTTTTTTTTACATTAATGAAGTGATGGTTCTTTAAATGTAAAGAATTTAGATAAATTTTGGTGATGATAAAAATAGCCACAATCCAGATGGCTTATTAATGTACATGCCACGAAAATAACCTAGAACCATAGGTTGTCAAAAATAAAAGGGATTATGAAGATTAGACACTCAGGTCGCGCTTAACAAATAGTCACCCAGTCTGCCTTGGGACACTAGCTGTACTTATTGGAATTCACACATATCCCAGGTTAGTTCATCCATCCCATCTTTGAGTGACTTTCATAGTTAAAGCACAGAGGACTGTGGGAATTTACCACAAAGATGAGAATTGTGCAGATAGAACCAACTTTCTGAAGACTGTTGAGTTAAGGAAGTGGCTAGTGTACCTTGCTTTTTATACTCTTGTATACTGCGGTGATAGGCTCAAGTATAGCAAGGATTGTGAGGATGGCACACGACTGGGCTGTGTTTTCTTCTGCTTTACTGAGTCACTATGAGTCAGAGCCAACTTGATGACACCTAACAACAACAACATACTTTTGTATATGTGTTTCCTGAATGAAGATGCTTTCATGTATGAGAGAAAGGCAGTATGTCTTAGTTTTAAAACAGAAGCATAGATATCTTAAGGGCAATTTTATTTTGCTTGTCAGGCTGTTCATTTACCCTGACTTGTGTGACACATTTTTTGGCTTTTGTTTCAGTGGTTATTGCCAGAAAGTCAAGATTGTCATCAATGATTCTTTCCCAAGCCATGACAGACATAGCCAGTTGTAATTGAAAAGGTGCATTAAATTGCTAGATTTTTTGTTTCTTGTAATACAAGTTTACTATGGAAAGTTAGTAAATAGTTAAGTAAAATAAATAAATAAAAATTACTCCTAACTTATCACTCCAGAAGTAACCATTATTTTTCATTTTTGATACATACCCTGCTGATGTGTGAAAATGTATAGGTAGAGATGGTGGTGTAGAAGACACACACAACACATACATATAAACTTTTTTTTTTTTAATGTTAGTAATTGAGTCATTATTCTCCTGAAAGGTTTTTCACATCCAGCAGTGAAAAAGCTAGCTATCATAATCATTAGTGTCAGGAAGGAAGATCTTGATTTCCTTTTTAAATTCCAGGCTACTTAAATTCTAACTCAGAACAGAAGAATCTGCCTTTTCTTACATGATTTAAACAAATAGTAGAGCCTAACATGAGTTAAATTTAAAGTACTTTCATAAACAGGTAGAGTATTGGTAAGGCAGTTGACATACTTAGTAATAATATTCTTTATGCTGTAATTTTTAAAAATTTTTGTTGAATTACCAGGTGGAAAATGGTTGGTTTCTGATAACTTCCTGAATATCACCAGCGTAGCCTTTGATGACCGTGGGCTCTATACATGTTTCGTCACCTCTCCAATTCGTGCCTCCTACTCTGTCACCCTACGCGTTATCTTCACCTCGGGAGACATGAGTGTCTACTACATGATTGTTTGCCTGATTGCCTTTACAATCACCCTCATCTTGAATGTCACACGCCTGTGCATGATGAGTAGCCATCTTCGCAAGACTGAGAAGGCCATCAATGAATTCTTCAGAACTGAAGGGGCTGAGAAACTTCAGAAAGCCTTTGAGATTGCAAAACGTATCCCCATCATCACCTCAGCCAAGACTCTGGAGCTTGCCAAAGTCACACAATTTAAGACTATGGAGTTTGCTCGTTACATCGAAGAACTGGCAAGAAGTGTCCCTCTGCCACCTCTTATTCTGAACTGCCGGGCCTTTGTTGAGGAGATGTTTGAAGCTGTACGAGTAGATGACCCTGATGACATGGGAGAAAGAATTAAAGAGAGACCTGCTTTGGATGCTCAAGGTGGCATCTATGTGATTAACCCAGAGATGGGACGGAGTAATTCACCAGGAGGAGATTCGGATGATGGTTCTCTGAATGAGCAAGGCCAGGAGATAGCGGTTCAGGTCTCTGTCCACCTTCAGTCAGAGACCAAAAGTATCGATACTGATTCTCAAGACAGCAGTCATTTCAGCCCGTCCGACGATGTGGTATCTGCTGAATCTAATTCTAACTGCAAAGATGGAGCATGTGAAAACTGCCTGATGTGAGCAATGCCAGTACCAACAAAAAAAAAGTCTTAGAGAAGGAATTTATTTCTAGGAGGAAATAACCTTTTTTTTACCAACAGATGACTGGGGTTTTCCCCTTGTTAATAGGACATCAGAACATGAATTGCCAAAATCATTGTAAAAATGCAGCGTTTTTCCTATCTGATAGTCATTTTCCCCAAGCCTGAGTAAATGATATGCATTAAGGTTTAAAGGAGCCTGAGAGAGAAGCATGTTGGGAAAAGTACTAAACTAAGAGTCCTGTGACTTCTTTTCTAGTCATGATTCTGTAATTGGTTAGGTCTGACAGTTCTCTTGAGGCCTCAGTTTCCCATCAGTAAAATTGTGTTAGAGGATGGATATCTAAAGTTGTTTCTGGTACTCTAACTTCTTCAGCTATCTTTTAAGTAAACCCTCCCTAAGACTTTTAGTCCCCTTTTATAGAAAGGACCAAACTGAAACTTTTTTGTAATTTCAGTATCCACACCAATACCATAATGCATACATGTGTGATTATTTTGCAGCTCTTTTGTCTTATGGAGCATTCAATTATATGTGCAGACATCAGAGAACTAACTGCTCATTAGTAAACTTCTTTCCATGAGTAAATTGGTCCTGTTTGGGGGTACATCATGTCTTTTTAACTTAATGAGGCATCATTTAGTTCATTGAAGTTGTCAGTGATTTCCCAACTGGCCTCCTAAAGTGAGCAGTTTGTTCCTGAGGAATAATATCTTCAGTAACTGCAGAATAAGGAACAGTGTCAAATTGTTTGTCTCTGTTAAATCATGGATTTTAATATGTCTGCTAATACAATTTTTCAGGCTTTTCCTTTTTAAACTTCCTGGGTTCTACAAGTCAGTTGTGTGTTTAGGATCCTATTCCAGGGAAAAACCCCAGACCTGGATTCCTCTTTAGACCCCTGTCTCCACTGCTGCCCTCTGTGGTCTTAAATATGGTGCTCAAGATCACATGCCCCCTTGTTTGTTTTGTGTTTTTTTTTTTGTTGTTGTTGTTGTTATGTGCCGTCGAGTCGGCCCTGACTCATAGCGACCCCTCCTTGGGTTTCCGAGGCAGTATCACTACGGAAGTAGGATTGCCCAACCTTCCTTCCGAGTGTTTTGTTACTGAGGTGTTTTGTTACTGAGGTTCTTTTAATTTTTATGTACTTCAGATTTAGGATTCTGAAGTAGGGCTGCTTTTGTGGTCTTTCTGAGAAGTCTCTGCCTGGAATAGGATTAAATAATGGTATGTGGCATGTTAACCTATTGCCATCAACTCAATTCTGACTCATAGCTATAGAACAGCCTTGTAGGGTTTTCAAGACTGTAAATCTTTATGGAAGCAGACTGCCACATCTTTTTCCCAAGAAGCAGCTAGTGGATTTGAACCGCCAATCTTTTGATTAGCAGTATAGCACTTTAACCATTGCACCACCAGGCTCCTTCATCACACTTTACACTAATCCTGCCTCATTAACATAACAAAGACAACCCATTCCCTAGTGGGATTTTGGGGGACAGAATTCAATTTACAACAACAGATAAAAATGACAGTGCTGCCTTTTCTGTCTCAGGCTGTTTCCATAGAAACCTTCAGAGCCAAACAAAAGCTACCAATCATTTAACCAAAGCTTGCTTGGCTCATAGACCTGTTTCTTTAAGGAAAACTATTTTCATACATTTGGCTATGAGAGCAGGAGCTCTTGAACATATTTTAAGATTATAGAATACTTTCCTTCTCTTAATACTTCTCTTGAAAAAATAAAATAAAATCCTTTGTCAGAGTTCCCTGAAAATATCTCTCAGATCTTCATATAGTACCTCCAACCCTGTCTCACTATAACAGGTTGAGATAATTTTTTAGAATGTAGCTTATCACATTAAAGAGTGTGGTTTTACCCTCCATATTCTCGCACAGTGGAAATTAGTGTTCAGAACTCATATAAGACATATTTAATGATCGAAAAGAAAAAAAAAAAAACTCACTGCCATTGAGTCAGATCTGACTCATAGCAACCCCTCCTTGAGTTTCCAAGGCAGTGTCTCTACGGAAGTAGATTGCCCAATCCTCCTTCCAGGGACTGGCCGGTGAGTTTGAACCTCCAGCCTTCTGGTTAGCAGTCAGATGCCTTAGGCACTATGCCACCAGAGCTCCCATTTAATGATCAAAGTCCTAGGAAATAGGACTTTTCAAAAGTATGGGAAATATTGAAAAAAAAATGTTAGTTTGCACAATACTGTATAAAATATAAGCTATTCCCTTACATCCTGAATAAATTATATAAACAGTGACTTGATTTGGTGGCCAAAGTAATGTATTTACTTTTTCTAGGTTATATAGGTTATGGTGCCATTGATTCAGAATTAATAGGTCAAAATTTAGATCAGTTAATATTACTTTCTAAAGCTACTTTTCAAGAGGAAGGAAACCACACTTAATATTTCTGTATCTAATCAAATCTTCATATATGTCTAACAGTTGATGCTATCTTCTAAAATCCTTAACCTTTTGAACTTAAATAGTATAAAGCCTTTTTAATAATGACTGGTATAGTTATCCTTTTGTCTTGCTGGATTTTATAGTTAGTGAAAAATACCTTTATCCAACAAAATGTATTTAAATCAATTATGTCATTTATAAATTTTATATTGTAATTTAATGAACCTTATTGTCCTTATGAAATGAAGTAGTAGTTTTGTGAAACAGATTTACCTAGAATTGACGTTTTAGACAATGTAAAATCATTTAGATTCCTTCCCAGCTGAAGTCAGTCAAACAGGCATCTTTTGAGTTGATACCCCACTTGAGTTTATAGGCAGTTTGATTACCCTATCCTCAAAGTTGCATCTGTTACGATGGCTTAATTTTTGAGTAATACTCTAGGAGCATTTATGTTTCCTACCTGCTACCTTGATAAATATCAGTACCTGGAATGGGTATGAGAAGGCTCCAGGCTTCTTTGCCTCACTTCACTTGTATTTTATGGTCAAAACAATGTCTGCACACTGACATCCCTTCACTCATCCAGCCACAGTGAGATCTTTCTGTCTAGCCCTGTTCATATACTATGAGTAGTTTCACCCCTAGATCAGGCTTTGCCTTCTGCAACCCAGAGCAGCACAGAGCACTGCATGCTTATTTTCTAGAGTTCAGCCATTCACTGGTGCTAGCCTTGTCTCCACATACCAGCAGTTGTAATGGAAGCATATTGTATTTCCTGAATCACTAGTAAGAACACAGTCTTTTCTCAACTAGGCCGGGAATGTTGAAAATGCTCAGCGTTATATTAAACAAATTATCATTAACACATTTCAGAAAAATGAATGACTATTGTTTGGCATGGTTCAGATGATTTTTAAATGGTAAACATTTTAATAAATATTTGCATTATATTTTTTTAAAGTGTCAAATGTAATAAATGTTCAGTGGGATAAATTTATTGGAAATGTTCTATATATTTCAGTTTTGAGTGACAGAATTTGATATTAATGATTTTGAACAAGTAAATATGAATTCAACTTGGATTACACTATGGCTACCCATTTCAACTTTATAAAAATTTATTGAGCATCTATATGTTTTTTATATTATACGCCATACTAAGATGGATGTCCTTCCCCGACTCAAATGATCAAAACAGCTATTTCTCCTTCTAAAGCAAAGCATTCTTGACCAAGGCAACTGGTTGAGAAAAAAGGCTTAGAGATAGGAGTATTTAGCACATTTTGGAGAACATATGATTAGTGTGTAAAATTTGTGGTGAAATTTGGCAGGTGGGTGGCATAGCTGTGGTAAGAATGAAAATCTGCAGTTCTCAGGGAATGAAGGCTAGTGACGGGAAGTGGGAAAAGCACAGGGTCTTGGGGAGAAAGGCAAAAGAACAAGAAGTATGGCTTTGGCTTGAATGCCCCAGACTCCTTAAAATGAAAACCTAGACCCTACCTCTCTGCAATAGCTACAACAATGGACTCAAACATACCAATGATCATGAAGATGAGGCAAGACCAGGCAATATTTCATTCTTTTATACCTAAGACTGCCGTGAGTCACCAATTTGACAGCAACTAACAGCAACAGCATCTCTATAGCAAAAGATCATGAACTTAAGAGTAGTGATTCTCTGGCCATGTAACTATGGGCAAGTGACTTAACCTTTCTGGGCTTGAGTAAAATAGAGTTGATAACACCTACCTCACATAATTAACATGGGGATTAAATATAGGAACATGTAAGCAAACTGCTATAACATGTAAGGAGCTAGTAATCAGTTACCAGCTTTGTTAGCAGGTCATGTCCAACTGATGACTATGGGTTACATTAATAGTCAACTAAAAATTTAACCATATCTCTTTCAGAGTTGCATTTGGTTTTATGCTGCAGCAACCCAATTATAGTGACTTAACCAAATAAGGCGTTTGTTTTTCTCAAATAACCAGAAATCCAGGTAGTCATCAAGCTCCTTCTAGATTCCTCTCCATCCTTAGCATGTGGCTTTTATCATTGTGGTCACAAGATGTCTTAGCTTGGCTTTCCCAAAAATAGTCCTCCTGACAAGGAAACGTGCAGGTAATTTATCAGGAAGCAATGGAAGAAGAGTGGAGAAGTGAAACAGGAAAAAGAAGCCAGTATAGAATGCATATAAATGAGTTGCTGCTGTGAGTAACTTGTGCTCAGCCCCACTGGTACTTTAGGAAGGCAATGTAAGTCATAACTGAGTTGCCCCTTGGAAGGTCCAAGAAGCAGGGGTATTTATCTACCAACTCCTATCATTAGTTGAGGGTTCCTTTCAGAGCCATTAACTCATTCACATTTCCAGTCTTCCACATATGGGCGGAGCATGCTCCAGCAGCCAGTGAAAGCTCCCAGGCAGAGAGTCACAGGAGTGACAGGAAGAAACCTGTGGTGAATATAGGACTGTTGAGTGCCAAGAGGTATAGGCAGAGCACTGACAGCTACACAGGACAACTCATTCACCTCCAGCATGGCTACATTCCAGGCAGGGAGAAGGATAGGTCAAAGGACAAAAGACAGATAGCAGTTGAGTCTACCTTTTTATCAAGAAAGTAATAGCTTTACTAAACCCTCACCTGACTTCTGCTTCTCAGGAACCAGAACTACGCTGCATAGCTCCTGCTGTGGTTGTAAGAAAACCTGGGGAAATTAACCAGACACATTGTCCCCACGTTTGGGTTCTGTTATTAAGAAAGAAGAATGGAGACTGTAGGCAACTGGTAATGTATGACCAGGTCATCTTCACATGAATTGCAGAAGCAAATACGGTTCTATAGGGGATAAAGATACTCACTCAC